AGGCTCCGCCTCTCCGGGGGGCAGAATTGGGTCTCAGTTCCTCTGATGATTTATTGAGGGAAATATTCTGTACGGTTTACCAGCTCGCGCTTCAAAGCCGCCCGCACAGAACCCCCTTTATTCCAGGGGAATGCGCTGCAGCCGGCGCGGGTTTGGCACGCTCTGCGATCCCGGGGGCCACTCAGGAGGTCACTGTACATGGAAGCCATTGAGAGCGGTACCAGAGGGGCCAACAAGGGCCCTCAGATGGTCAGATCAACAAAGAGCAGACGGGGAAACGCAACCGCCTCAACCTGCACGGACGGCACCGCGATTGTCCCCCACAACCCACACACAGAGAGGGACAGAGAGTCACACAGAGAGGGACAGAGAGTCACACAGAGGGGCAGAGAGTCACACAGAGGGGCAGAGAGTCACACAGAGGGACAGAGAGTCACACAGAGGGGCAGAGAGTCACACAGAGGGACAGAGAGTCACACAGAGGACAGAGAGTCACACAGAGGGACAGAGAGTCACACAGAGGGGCAGAGAGTCACACAGAGGGACAGAGAGTCACACAGAGGGACAGAGAGTCACACAGAGGGACAGAGAGTCACACAGAGGGACAGAGAGTCACACAGAGGGACAGAGAGTCACACAGAGGGACAGAGAGTCACACAGAGGGACAGAGAGTCACACAGAGGGACAGAGAGTCACACAGAGGGACAGAGAGTCACACAGAGGGACAGAGAGTCACACAGAGGGACAGAGAGTCACACAGAGGGACAGAGAGTCACACAGAGGGACAGAGAGTCACACAGAGGGACAGAGAGTCACACAGAGGGACAGAGAGTCACACAGAGGGACAGAGAGTCACACAGAGGGACAGAGAGTCACACAGAGGGACAGAGAGTCACACAGAGGGACAGAGAGTCACACAGAGGGACAGAGAGTCACACAGAGGGACAGAGAGTCACACAGAGGGACAGAGAGTCACACAGAGGGACAGAGAGTCACACAGAGGGACAGAGAGTCACACAGAGGGACAGAGAGTCACACAGAGGGACAGAGAGTCACACAGAGGGACAGAGAGTCACACAGAGGGACAGAGAGTCACACAGAGGGACAGAGAGTCACACAGAGGGGCAGAGAGTCACACAGAGGGGCAGAGAGTCACACAGAGGGGCAGAGAGTCACACAGAGGGGCAGAGAGTCACACAGAGGGGCAGAGAGTCACACAGAGGGACAGAGAGTCACACAGAGGGGCAGAGAGTCACAGAGACAACAGGTATGACCTGGCCAGGTACAATGGCTGTTAACACTAACTCTCGTCAATAAAACACAGGAAACGCTCCTCCACGCACACACATCGTTCTTAATGGGCGATCAGTCTATCCCAATCTGGAAACGTTGTCACCAATTGTAACATTTTGGAACGCGGTTCCCGGATCTCGCGGCGTCTGTCTGGAGCTCAGCGTCACGTTTTCCGGGGAAATGTCTCCATCTGCTGTCTGTTTGGAGCAAAAACCAAAGAAATCAAGTCAGACACATTGATCCGGGTCCGCCATGGCCAGTGGCCCATGTGTGTCATGTGATCACCGGAGGGGCCACAGTATGGTCAGCGACCAATCAAAACATAAAGGAGAACTCCGCACTGAAAGTTACAGATCATTCCCGGGGGGGGCGACATATTAGATTGTCGAATAAAATGTCCATTTATTTTCCTAATTTTTAGTCTCTGAAGTGTCGCAGAGACTCGCGCGCCCCCAAAACATTCATTTCGTTTTGTTTCGGATTTTTCATTATTTTGTTTTTCGGGATTCTGTCGAAAACCGAATTTTCGTTGGTTTCGTTAGCGGTAATATGTACTAACGGATTTTCGGTGCAGTAAAGTGACATTCGGCAATACAGGCCGCAGAAGAAA